CTTCCCCAGACTCTTCGTCCTCTTCGCGCCGGGGCACATGCTGCAACAAAGCGGGACCAAACTGCATATGGCCCGTGCAAGAATCTCGAGGGATCAGTTGCGGGTAGGGGCCCTATCTCGCCGAGAAGCCTTCCACCTTCTACTCTCCTGAGCTACTGCATCGATGCAGGCCTGCCAGGAGGGCCATTCTAATGCACGCCAATGCCCTTTCCTTTTATGCTTGCAGAGGAGGGGACCTTCCTTGTCTACCTCTCTCATTCCGCAGGGTACATCATGATAATGTCCACAGCACTGCCACCCGCAGAGTCTCTGCTGCCATCATGTTCTCCGCGTTTGTCCTGTCCACCGTCATCAGCGTCCCTAGAAAAATGGCTGCACCATCTTTTTCCGTGACCTCCAAAGGAGATGTATCAGCCAGCTCTTGCGCCCACCATTCCCAAAGGGCCCGAGCAACCGGGCAGCGCACAAACAGGTGGGGGACGATTTCTAACTGTCCGCGTCCCGCAGCGCAGCTCTGGTCCTTATATCGGGTTTTTAGTTGCCATCGATTGCGCCTGAAGTCCCGCCTGCTTTTGGTCCGCCAGAGCAGCTAAGATAGCACATTGTTGGTTCCATCTCCTCTGTGTCCACCTACTGACGTAGGCATCCGGGATCCAGTCGTCCTTGGCCCACCGGCTTCTCAGCTACTCGCAGATGTCTACCGGTTCCAGCAGGGAATCGTAGATGTTCTTGGTGGCGAGGAAAAACAAAAACAAAAAAAAACGAGTTCCTGGAGTGGAACTGCGTTCCTTAGCATCCTCTGTGCGAGGTTGCCAACCACTCCCATTCCCTCGGATCCCATACCGAGGTCCCGGCATCTAGTTGCTACTCGTACTCGGAATGGAAGGTCCTGCTTCTCTCCCTTCTTCCCCCCTTCACACAATGCTACTGTTTTGATCCTGTTCATTAAGATCTTTAGTTCCTTTTGGCCATCCTCTGCGTCAGCCTCTTGCAGGGGCCAACCCAGCCCTTCATTACCAGTGGCCGTCAGCCAGCTAGTAACCTGTACCCTTCAGCCGTCCAGCACCTGTTCCACCCACCCTGTATAGCAGAGCCTGCAAATGGCTGGCCGTAGCCGTGCCCAGCTGCCCACGGCCGGACCCGGCAGCTGCGGGCAGGTCTGGCTAGCCCATGTCCCACCTGGCCAGGTGTGGCCAGGCGATGGGAGGATGGCCCTGGGCCGGGTTGTGGGCAATCGTAGTGAAAAAAAATGGGCCAGTTGTGGGTGGCCTCTCGTAAACAAAAAAGAAAATGGGCAGGTGTGGGCGGGTCTAGACTTGGCATGGGTCACCCCCACAAAAAGAAATGCATGTATGCATGTGGGAGTCTACACCCATGCATGTACGTCTGTTGGCCTACTAGCTCCTATCTTTCATGATTTTTTATTTTTTTTAACAGACCACCACCGGTTTGCTGGAGGTGACCTCAATATGCTTTGAATTTGGTCTCATGACTCTCATGATTTTTTTTGATTTTTTTTTAATTATTATTATTATTTTTTATTTTATTTTATTTTTTTGACTTTTTTTCTCCCACTCATATGTGGCATGTGCAGACTTAACATTCATGTACCTAGTTGTTCTCGAATTCCAGTGGTTGATCTAGCATCATCTAGGGTTCTATATTGTCGGGGCCACCAATTGCATAGGTGGGAATGGTCAGGCTGAGTGTGGGTGGGTAGGGTGTCGAAAACTTGGGAAAAGCAACGGCGGGTACGGGCAGGTGAGGGTAGAGGAAAAAATGTCAGCTATGGGCGGGTGCGGGTGGGATTGTGCTTAAACCACCAGTACCTCACCCAGCCACTTTTTTCCGATGCAGCCTTTGCCGACGCTTCATCCGACCCTGCAGGGGTTCCAAATCCCAGCGCTAGTCCCTTCGGTCTTCATCCCATAGGTGGCCCACTCTGTAAATCCCTTGCACAGCCCATTTCCATCCATAGGCACCGCGCAGGCTTTTGCACAGGGTCTCTTTCTCTTTTGTTGGTGAGGTGGGCGAGGGTGAAAAGCAGGGCCTTCTGCTCCGGGGTCTGTGGAGTAGTAGTCTGTACATTATCAGCCATAGGACCTCCTCCGTGCAAGCATGGATTTGAACCGGCGCCCTCAGCCTCAAGAGCCGAGTCTCTTAACCACTACAGCCATGACACGGTGTAAAAAGTAAATCCATGCCGGTTCTGATATTCACCCCACCCCTGCATGGCTGTAGTGTCCTTCAACTCACACACACACACACACAACACCACACAAGGCATCCGCCACACAGGCAGTAGTCGCACACTCCACTCTCATCCTGCACAACTGCTTATCCAACGGTTTTATCCATGGGCCACCACATCCAGGTATAATTTCCGGGCTGGTTACCCGGTTGAAGTACAGTCTGTACATTATCAGCCATAGGACCTCCTCCGTGCAAGCACGGATTCGAACCGGCGCCCTCAGCCTCAAGAGCCGAGTCTCTTAACCACTACAGCCATGGCACGGTGTAAAAAGTGAATCCATGCCACCCCCCCCCTGCATGGCTGTAGTGTCCTTCAACTCACACACACACACACACAACACCACACAACGCATCCGCCACTTCCTTTCAACATCATGATGGGAGAAAGAACCACCGGTCGACATTAACGAGGAGGATTGACTTTCAGTGATACCCTTCCTCTTATGATTGCTGTCAGCCCGCATGTGTACAGGTGGTCAGGTTGGTGATCTCATGCAACATTGGGCCTCACTCCACTACTCACCACTACATGTATCTGGACTGAAAATGGACCAAATGCATTCGAATACGAACAGAATGCCTTGAATGTGTTGAGACCATTACCAGCTCCAGATACATTCTAGAAAAAGTCTTGCAGTGGTGCGTGGCCTATTATTTCACTGATCCATTACATCCCCAAAAAATATTTGCTCCTCCCCTGTCTGACGGTCTAGCCCACCGTAGTAAGACCTTTGAAGGTCGCTAGCCTGCCCTCGGTTGGCCAGGACCTTTTGAGCTTGGAGCCTCGTTCTACTGCTCTCCACGTGCACAAAAGACAAAAAATATGGAGGTACAGGTGTACCTGTCCATGTTCTAGCGGAAGATTCGTTCCCCAGTAGAATATATGCTCCTGCCTGACAGGCTACGGTGCCTTTCTTTATTTTTCTTTTCTTTTCTTTTTTTGTTTGTTTATTTTGCTTGCCCACAGCAAGACCTTTGATAGATCGCTATCTTGCCCTCGGTCCGCCAGCGTCTTTTTCATTTTGGCTTGGGACCTCACCCCACTACTCTGCACATGCACAAAAGACAAATCAGATGGAGGTGTATCTTTCCATTCCAGTTTCTAGCAGAAGACTCGTTCTCATTTTGCACAATTGGTGAATAGTGGAGGGAGGTTCCCCTGGCTTTATTCCCCCCTCTACCGTTTCCGGCTGCTTTTTTGCCTAATCTACTTTGTCAAGCCCCACACTTTCTCTGTGGAGTTTCTGGTCGCATCCTAAGCTATGCTGCATTTCTCTTTCCAGCGCCAGATTCAAAGCGCTGCAGAAGGATATACACCTGTATCCCACATGCCGGGTCCTTCGTAGTGCCTCACAATAGAAAGTCGAAATGAGGTAGAAGACCAACGGGCCTAGCCCGCTTCGTATAACCCCCAAAGTGTTGAAATCTTGAAACACACATCTGAGTTTGAATCCACATAGATTAGATCTGAATGTACTCGTTATGGGACGCTGGGCCCAGTTCTCAGTTTGTGCCAATTAGGGAGGATATGGCTGTATCTATGGGACGCTGGACCCGGTTTCCAGCAGGTGCTGCTCCCCACCAATAGATGGAGCTTTTTTCAAAAAAAAAAAAAAAAAAAAAAAGATTAGATGCTTCAAGTTCATGAATTACCTGGAGTATACCAAACGGGCCTAGCCCGTGGGCCCACGCAGTCCCAGGTTGATGTCACAAAAATTATCTCCAATGCACTTTTCACTGTTTTCAGGATTGAGGGGATTAACTGGGGCTGAAAAGTGGGGTCCCTGTTAACCAATTTTTTCAATATGGCAAAAGTGAAAACTATACCGCTTCGATCCCACATGTCTTATTAGTTACTTGATGTTTTTTTTTTTTTTTTTTTTTTTTTTTTTAACTGCCTGGGGCAGGAATTACCTGGGGTCACGCAGTCCCAAGATGACGTCTCAAGGCTGTCTGTCGCCCCTCTGCAGCAGGAAAATGGTGATATAATCCTCACAGTTGGTATACCCAGGAACTCACGAAAGACAGATCTGTGCGTTTGAATCCCTCTATGAAGAGTAGCAAAACCAATTCTCTGTCACCCGCGACAAGTCAGTTCAAAGGTAGTATCTCAAGGTCGTCCGTCGCCCTTTTCTTTTCCCCAAAACAAGAAAAGAATTAGCAACAAGTTAATAACCCTTTTTAAATCATTTTGTAAAATCCCCTGTAGTTGCCGCAAAAAAGGATGTCATAGCTCCCCCAAAAGTAATCACAAAAAAAAAAAAAAAAAAAAAAAAAGAAGAAGTACTCACAATTAAAGCCTTGGGTGCGTATTCAAATAAAGGGGGAGAACACCCCCTTCCCATCATGAAACATGAAAACACCTGCTGTTGCCGTCACCGTAGTAGCTGCATATATCAGACCTGATACTGGGGTAGGTACAGGGCCCTCCATAACCAAGTATGGAGTCCTATTTATGGAGTCCTATTTGTGCGGATTTTCCTACAGCTCCAATAAAGAGTAAAAATTAAAAAAAGTTTAAAAAACACAAATAGCAGTTAGTGCATGAATTTTCATATTAAAAAAAATGAAAGAAGATTTCCACACAAAGGCACTAGCGCAAGCAAAAATGGTTGAAAACTCAGTTCAAAGGTAGTATCTCAAGCTCGTAGCCCTTTTCTTTTCCCAAAACCAAGAAAAGAAAAACAAAAAAATGGTGACCAAAACCGGAAAGCACATTCTATAGGAACTTGCGCCGCCCTCTAACACTTTTTAATACTGAGCATGGGAAAAAAAATTGGCCAATCACAAAAAAAAAAGGAACAACAAAAGAAAGCAAACGCGCTGCACAGACGAAAATACTCCCAAGCCTCGCTAGAGAGGAATTCTTGTCAAAGTGAAATTCCCAACACGCAAGTTGAGAAAAGAAGGCATCTGCTGTCTGCTCCTATCAGCAGCACTAACACTGACGGGGCCGTTATCGGAAAAAAAAAAAAAAAAAAAAAAAAAAAAGAGAGAACAGGAGGCATCCAGAAGAATCTCCGCTTGTGCATCCGTATGTGTCACCACATCTAGGGCCTACCTCCACTGATCTCGACATGTGCAGAACGGGAGTGAATTTTTCCGCTAGAACATGGAAAGAGAGATACACCGCCATGTTTTTTGTCTTTTGTACATGTCGAGAGTAGTGCAGCAAGACCCCTATCCAAAATTTTCCAAAGCACAAAAGCAAAGCATTGTCAGAGAAAAGGGAGGTCTGGCGTACAAATGGGCCTAGCTCAGTTGGTACACCCATGAGCTGTTGAAATACAAATCCGGGTTCAAGTCCAGAGAACTACCGGTAGGTGTAAAATGCTAACCTGGGGTTGGCCAGTTCGACAACCATATCTCCAGGTCATTGTTGTTCTTATCAAAAAAAAAAAAAAAAAAAAAAAAACGGTCCAGAGCGAAGTTGTGCAGAAACCCATGAGCATAGAATAGAACACTCTGAGCAGTGACCCGGATTGACGAGCACCACAATCAGTCACAAAAAAGCGCACTACATTTCTCTTTGGTATTACAAAGAAACATGGGCTGTCAAGATGTGCCTGCTCAGAAAGCACAAAAAACAAGCCAGCAACCCCGACATCAGGAAAAGACCTTTCTACCTACCACTAAATTCTCTCTCTCTCTCTCTCTCTCTCTCTCTCTCTCTCTCTCTCTCTCTCTCTCTCTCTCTCTCTCTCTCTCTCTCTCTCTCTCT